TATATGATTTTCTACATGCATTGTCTTCACTAAAATGGCCACATATTGAGTTCCCAATATCAAATTGATGCAATTCAAGAACCGTTTGAAATCTAAGAGAAATACGGTCGTATCTACAGAAGACATGTGGACCAAATAAAATCAGGATCCCATTCAAAAAGTCATCGTAAGTCTGATGTTGTTCTAGTCTTCTTTTCCAAGGCTTAGACGAGTGGATCATTTGGAATAGTTGTTATTTCTTCCTTTGATGTGAGCCTTGTGATGCATGTATCATCCTCCCTTTCTTCAAAAAAAATCTACCTCGAATCTGAAACATTAAAGGGAGTAACATTAGAATCATTTAATGATTCATTCACATTATTCTTACCGAATAGATATGCTTTGAATCTTCGAGACTTTGTTCTTCAAATAGGTTCGAGTAGAAACATTAGTCCAAAGAAGCATGTATTATCATTATGGACTTTGGTTCATGTATCATTCCCACACTCCTCAAATGGATTTGTCCTCGAATATGAAAATCCAAGAGAAATAGAATTAGATGTGTTTAAAGGAAAACTTGTGAAACATTTACCAAGATCAATGTGATGTGTCTTTATGTGTTTTAGTCGAGGTTTATTCTTTGTAGGAACTGATTTCTTGTAGTCTTGAAATCCTCTTTTGCATACAAGTCTTGTAATATAATGTTTAGGTTGAAATTCAACATGGCATCGACTACTATTAGTTTTTTTTATGATTGCTTCAAATATTCTCTCCATGGTTTGACTCGTGTGTGGTGAGAATGAGTCTTGAAAAACCATGTCAACTAGTTTGTTAAAGTAAACCCTTAAGTCTCCTAAGTGTGATTCATGAATTAAAAATTCTCGGGAGAAGATTTGTGGACTGCAAAACCTTCGTGGTAGTGCGTCGTCTACTCTGTTTTGCTTACCTCGGTCTCTTCCGCACTTAAAGCATCTGTTTTTAGTATGAATGACAACTTTAAGAGTCTTACCTTGTAAAAATGAGAAGTACATTACAATATCATTACAATGAGTAATAAAATACTTACCTTTGAAATCTCGTAAATTGTGACTCTTCATTGATATGACATAGTGATTAGGGCTTTCAGGTGGTAACCCGTCAAGAGGATCACCTAGCACCATTCGACAACTCTTGGTGATGGAAGATGGTGTGGGCCAGTCCCGTGTTACTTTCACTTTTTCATCATTTACATGGATTCCCTGTGCACGAACTATAAAATCTGTGGAGTTATTCAAATCATGTTTCTTCATTAAGATGGTGTCACTACTAAGGCTTTCCTTGATATAGCTTTTTTTGTAATAAATCCAACTCTTTGGTTTCTTCGAGATTATTTGTTTGATGAGGTATGATGGAACCTTGAATTAGATTGGTTTGGTGTTGTTTTCCTCTTATCGGTGGTAATTTGTCAGGTGGATCACCTAATACTTCTCGAAAATCCTATAAAAGAGATGAAAACACACTAGGAAAATCCTTGTTAAAGTTAGAAATCGAAACAATTGATTCCCTAAAATGAACAAGGATGCAAGATTGTTTGTAAAGAAGGTTCTCTATCAATTCTATTGTGCTCACACATAGATTTTGAGTCACTCTTTTCTTCTCACAATTAGGTTCACTCGCCACCCGTGGGTCATTTGTTTGGCTTTTATCAGTTGTGACCTTTTTCGCATTTTGTTTCAAGTTCCCAATCTCCTTGTGAATTCATTGTTGATCTATAAGACTCTCTTTAGGGGGTAGAGGGTTAAGTCGGAACGATTTACCTTTGATTGGAATTGTGTAAGTGTTCTTTTGGCTATAATATGCGATGTCATTATTGTATTGCCAAGGACGTCCTAGGAGGATGTGGGATGCTTGCATCGGGACTCTAACGGATGTGTCGTCATTAGGGGCTGGAAGTGTGTTATTCTTTGTTGGTCATTGTTTCTCCTTGTCGAGTTTGTTATCTCTCGGTTTTTTTAGAGAATGTGGAGTAGAAGATGAGGAAGGATTTGAAGGATTACCTTGGTAAGAGGATGAAATACCTTGGTAATGGTCTCTGAATCAGAATCTCCTTTGGATTTGTGCTTCGATAGTTATTGCCTTCTTTAGTGTATTTTCAAGGTTTTCGTACCCATTCAAGATCATCAAGAAGATCAGTGATGTTTGAGTTAAAGCCGACGATGAATCTTGACACGTTGTCCTCTTCTTCTTTGGTTATGTTAGCCCTATTGAGTAAGGACTGCATCTCCTTGTAGTAGTCTTCAAATGAACTTCTACCTTGTCGAAGTCAGTGTAGTAGTAGTTTAACTTCTCATGTATAATGTGTCGGTAGGAATTAGTTCCTCATGGTTTGTTTGAGGTCGGTCCAAGACTTGATTTCTTGAATTTGAAAGTTGTCTATCTTTTTCCTTGTTTGCATCCACCAATTGTGAGCATATCCTTCGAATTCCATAGTGATGAGGGGAACTAGTTCAGCTTGGGGGCAGTCATGATATGTGAACATGAGATCAATTTTTCCTTCCCAATCGATGTATTTGTCCGGATCGTTGTGTCCTTTGAAAGACGGGACCGTGAACTTTGGTTTTGCAAAGAGTTCGGGTGCTTGGGAACGTGGTTGTGCTCGCCTGGATACCAAAAGTTCAACATTGTTTGGTCATGGATTTTAGTTTTGTAGATCCAATTGTGGTTCTTATCATTCTCTCACGGTATTATTAAATTCATCAAATCATGTTTCAAATTTCGTGAGTCGTTCAAGTGCGTCTAATATAGTCGTAAGTGTCTTGTTGTTATTGTCACCCATCCTGAAATCATAACACTAAAAAGAAAATTTTAAAGTAAATTAAAAATAAAGGAAAGAAAATTCAACAAAGCAAGAAACATCGCAAGTCACTCCAAGAAAGTAACACAGCAAGAGGCAGGTAAGTCGATCTTTTACTCTTTAAAACTCACTTTACTAAGTAGTCTTCCACGGTTCGTATCGGAGTTTGATTACTGGCAAAGGCAATAAGAAAAACATAAAAGCTCTAAGATGCCAAACAAGGGTTAGACTCCAAGAGAACGAGAATGCAAAGAAGGAAGAAACATGCAAACTATTTAGTCCTACTAACACAAGGAAGATAATGTATTAGGTAATGTAAAGGAACAATAAAAAGGAAAACAAAGAACCTAAAGCTCTAAGAGTCTAAGAAAAAAAAAGAACCAAACCATAAACCTAGAAAACGCTGGGTCAACTTGAGAAATGTTTTTGAGGGAGTTACCGGTGTCCAAAATTTTTGGAAAAATTCTTGAATGTCATTTGATGTGTGTAGAAACCACCTGTAAAATTTTAGAATCAAATACCTTCAATAGTATCCAGGAGACTTTGTTGAACAGTGAGTCCTCAAACAGTATGTTTTTCATGATCGTTTCGTTCGAAGGTGTTATTGATCTCCAAAAATTTTGATTGTTTTTGTGAATGATCTTAAATATATGTAGTTTTAATATGGAAATTTTCACCACAAAATTTCTCCTGTAGAAATTTCAAGAAATTCGACAAGATTCTAGATCGAATCTGCCGTTAAACTTGAATGATGTATTTGAAGGCTCTAATGAACTCCGATTGGAGTGAATTTTGGACTGGACATTACTCTTAAGATTAATATGATGTATGAAGAAAAACAACCTTAAATTACTTCGTCTGAAATTTCTGATTTTTTTTTGACTTTTTTGATTTTTCGGTCTTTTTTTTATGAAAAACAACAAACTAACAAGAAAGATTTGAATCTAAATTAAAATTAAACAAAAAAGAACCTGAAATGATGAATCTTTTACGAACTAGCTCCGTTGGGGTACCTTGACGGTTTTGTGTGCAAGAACAAGCAAGATTGCTTGTTTCTTTTCAAGAATCAGCCCAAATCTGATACCAATTGACAGGGAAGCAGTGGCGAATCAATGAACGTTGCTCTTGTTGAAAAATCAAACCTAGAAAGTTCTAGGCTCGATGAAGAATAAAGGGGAATGAATATGTGAAGGTGGCAGCAGCAACTAGGGTCTTTTAGAATTTCTTTTAGGTGCTGAAATCAAGACAACAAGACTAGAATAAGATAAACAAAAGACAAATAAATTGAAAATGAAATAAGATAATAAAGAAATCAAAAGATCTCCCTTATGAAGGTGAACGGTAAAGATGATTAATAGTGTGAATGGATTTGTGGAAAATATATATGAATAAGTTTACTATCGAACCCTCCTAGTCGTAATGAAAAGGCAAACTCGATAATATGGTTCTAACCAACCCTCCTAGTCGCGATGAAAAGGCAAATTGGAGTGTGAAGATTAATCTCCCTCATAAGAACTTGAAAAAACTCCAGGAAAAGAAACTTCGAAGGCACAAGACAATCAGTACTTGAAAAAACGAGCTCTCGTTGTATTATTAATCAAAGAAATATATTTTACAAAGTTTAATGAAGCCTCCTTTATATAAGGGATGAGTTCTAAAAGTCCTAAATAACTAATGAATAAAACAACTAAACATGCTTTAACTTTAATTCCTGATAAAATAATAATAAACTAAGAATAATGTTTTGACTCAACCTTAATTCCTAATAAAATAATAAATCTAATCCTAAATGATAATGCGTCATCCAACGTTAAATTATATTACAAATAATCAATAAAAATATTGAAAATTTCATAATATTTACAAAATCATGTATTAATCCTGTATATGATTTTCTGCATGCACTGTCTTAACTAAAATAGCCATATATTGAGTTATCAATATCGAATTGATGCAACTCAAGAACCGTTGGGAAGCTAAGAGACAACTGGTAGTATCTCCAGAAGACATGTGGACCAAATAAGATCAGAATCTCATTCAAAAAGTCATCGCAAGTCTGTTGTTGTTCTAGTCTTCTTTTCCAAGGCTTGGACGAATGAATCATTTGGAAGAGATCAACTGTGATGTGAGCCTTGTGATGCATGTATCAGCCTACCTCGGAAAGATCAGTTGTGTTCTCATTCAATTTCTAAGTTATCTTCTTGGAATCACTCTCTAATGTTGATCTTGTGATGCCAATATCCTTCGCAAAATGAACACCTTGGAGGATTACTAAAGCTTCTGCCATAAACACATAGGTAATGTGGTGGGTATGAATAAATCCAGATCCAAGAACAAACCCAGCACTATCCCTGATTATAAAACCCGAGCAAGATTTTTGGTGCGCATAGGAGAAACAAACATCAAAATTCAACTTTGTTGTGGGCTCAAGAGGAGGTTTCCACCAGGCTAAGACGTGTGTGCGGATGGAGAAGTGACGAAGATACATCCTGCATTTCTGTACAATGGCTACGAACAAAGGGTATTGGTGTTCACAGATGATTCTGTTTCTTGCAAACCAAAGAGACCAAATAGTGACTGCAATACAAATGTGTTTACCTTTGTTGTGAGTCATGAAAAGCCTTAGGAGCCATTCCTTGAAACATAAGTTGCTTGCATCGTCTGACCACCGAATATCAAGTAACCTCCAAACTTTCCTTGCATATGGACAATCCCTGCCCACATGAGTATTGTCTTCAATTGACTGGTTGCATCTAGGACAGAAATTGCTAATACTGACTCGCTTTGTAAGTAGATTCTGCATTGTAGGAATATAGTTTCATGTAAATTTCCACAATAAGATCTTTATCTTGCTTTGACACTGAAACTTCCAAATTATGTAGAAAACCTTATCAGTCCCATTAGTATCATTTCTACAGCTAATTAAAAGTTTATAGCCGCACGAACTGTGTATAGCCCAGAACCTTCACCCTTCCAGCAGAGGATGTCATTTTGATTGGAATTCGACATGTGAATATCAAGGATGGATTCTATATCTGCCTCATTAAAGATAGGGTTGATGAGATCAATATTCCAACTTCTTTCGTCCATGTCAATTAAATCCGAAACTAAATCCACTTGCGTAGACTGTGAAGAAGTTACTTTACGAACAGGGAACCCCAGGAGCCAACAATCATTCCAAATAGAAATGGACATACCATTCCTGATCCTCCATCCCATACCCCTCTCTAGAAGACCCCTCGAACTCCACACACTTCGTCTAATAAGAGACGAATGTGAACCCCAAATTTGCCTTCATAAACGACGAGTTGGGGAAGTATTTGGATTTAAGAAGCCTAGAAACGAGAGAGCCTAGGTTAATAATAATGCGTCTGCCTTGTTTAGCGACCAAAGCAATATTGAACTTGCCGAAGTCTCGGAAACCCATACCTCATTCTTCCTTTAATTTGCACAATTCCTCCCAGCTACACCAATGCGTCCCTCTTTTATTAGCAGACTTTTGCCACCAAAAACGTGATGAAATGGCTTTCATCTCCTTACAAAGACTATTTGGAAGCAAAAAGCAGGACATTGCATATAAAGGGACAGATTGGAGAACAACCTTGATAAAAATCTCTTTACCTCCCATAGAGAGAAGTCGAGAACTCCACCCTTGAACTCGATTGTGAAACTTCTCCTTAAGTTTAAGGAAGGCGCTCCTCTTATTTCTCTCGACAATGGAAGGAAGGCCGAGGTAGGATTCAACATTATTTGTAATCGCGACATCCAAGACATGACAGATCTCGGATTTGGTTTTCTAAGTAACATTTGAGCTGAAAAAGGCACTAGATTTTTCAAAATTGATGATTTGTCCCGAACAGGCAGAATACAACTCCATAATCACTTTTAAATTCAAAGTCCCTTCTCTCGAAGCCTCACCAAAGATAAGGTTGTCATCTGCAAAGAAGAGATGCGTTATAAGAGGTGCACTTCTTGATATGCGGACCCCTTTGAGGCTACCATTGGTGGAGGCCAACTGGAGAAGGGATGATAATCCTTCACTGCAGATAAGAAAAAGATAGGGACTCAACGGGTCCCCTTGGTGAAGGCCTCTAGAAGGATGAAAAATATCACTCAGTTGGTTGTTTATCACTACTGAGTAAGAAACCGAGGATACGCAATTCATAATCCAAGATATCCAAATTTCAGAAAAAACCCATCTTTCTCATTATTTGTTCTAAGAAATGCCACTCCACACGATCATATGCCTTACTCATGTTGAGTTTGAGCGTGAATGATCCTTTGTGACCAGTTCGTTTCTTCTTCAAGGAATGTAGTACTTCATAGGCTGAAATCACATTATTAGTAATAAGCCTACCGGGAATAAAAGTGCTCTGCGCTTCATTGATACAGAGGTGGAGCGTGGATTGTAGTCTGTTTGCTAACATTTTTGAGATAATCTTGAAGATGACATTACAGAGACTTATTGGACGAAACTGTGACATATTTCTTGGATCGTTCACCTTTGGGATAAGAACAATGTGCCTGTGGTTGATAGAAGAAATAGGAAATTCCCCTTTAATAGTAGCAATGCAGAAATCAGAGACCTCGGAACCGATGATGTGCCAATTTTTTTTTTTATATAGAAAATTGCTCTAAGATCATCCTCACCAGAGGCCTTCAAAGGATTCATATAACATATCGCTGTCCAGACTTCTTCCTGTGAGAATTACAACATAAGGAATCGTTTAATGAGGCTGAAATGCTTCTTGGAATGCCCTGTAATATTTCGGTCGAATCGTTAATCCCCATAGTAGTGAAAAGATTAGAAAAATAATCCATCGCAACCCTTGGAATATTTTGATCATCCTCTTCTAATTGACCGTCATTTGAGAGCAGGCCATTGATGCAATTTGTTCTCCTTCTTTGACTAGCAAAGGAGTGAAAGAAATGGGTGTTGCGATCCCCATTTTTTAACCAATTCACCCGTGCCCTTTGTTTCTAATACAACTCTTCTTTGTCTAATTCAAGATTAAGAGCAATCTCTGCATCCATGAGATCTCCAATAGTTTCGTCCGAGACTTACAAAATGTAATTTTTCTGGTACATTACCAGCAGCAGCGTCCCACAACTTCTTTACTTTCTCTTCGCAAGATGATTCGAGAAGCCAAGCCGCTTTGAATTTGAAATAACATCCTACTTGAATGAGAGGCGTCTGCGATTATATCCAGCAGTAATGGCAAGTGATCGGAGATGGAGTGGACTAAATGACTCAATTGATAATTTGGAAAAAGATCGCCCAAAGCTGAGTTAGCCACACCATGGTAAAGCCGCTCTCTAATATTATTAGACTATGTACGGCCACGTTCCCAGGTAAACCAATTGTCCTTGTAGCCAAGATCATAAAGGTTGCAGTCCGAAAGGGCCTCCCTAAAATTTGCCATTTGCCGCTCGATGTGAGTGAGACCACCTCGTTTCTCCGAAGAGACCAAGATTTCGTCAAAATCCCCTATAACACACCAGGGAATAGGAGAGTTATCATTTAGATCATGTAGGAGCTGCCAAGATTCTCAACGTTGTTGAACTTCCGGTGCCCCATAAAATCTTGTGAGCCTCCATGCAAAACCATCAGTTTCTTTGTCAATCATAACATCAATTTCCGAAAAAGAACGAAGAGAAATCTGAACATTTTTCCAGCCAATAGATAGTAGTCCCCCACTGCTTCTAGAAGAACCAAGATCTATACCATTTAGCAAACCACAAGATTTGTGAATTCTTTCCATTTTCAATGAATGTAGCTTTGTTTCGATTAAGAAAAGAATTGAGGGGTTTATGTCTCTCAGCATTTGATGAAGACGATGAATATTCCGGGGTAACCCCAAACCACGGATGTTCCAGCATAAGGTTTTCATTTTGATCGGCAGGCCTGCTGTGGAGGACCTGTCGATAAAGAGTTATTGCCACTATTCGAATCCTAATGTTCAGAAACAATTGGTGGTTTTTCCACAATTCGCGACCGTTTGGGACGCTCATTAATTTTGACTGGATTGTCTTCTTCATCAATGTGCATCATAGAATCCATGTCGTAAATCATAAAGTTACCAAAATTATTCTTTTGATTTATCTTTTCATTTCTTATGGTTGATGAGCTGGAAGTCCACATTAATGTTTGGTTGTCACACCCGTTTTTAGGATCCTTGTTTCCTGCATATTGGGATGATTGGGCGGTAATCAAGGCAGGCTCATTGATTCTCATATTATGATTGACGTTGATCGTGGGAGGAATGGGTATCCCAGTGGAAATCTTTCCCCCATATCCCGCCAGATTTGTTTGCCATGAGTGAAAGTCAACTGTCCCTTCCTCCCTTAGCCATCTGCTTTGTGGCAGCGCCGCTCTTCGTGGTGGAGCTCGTAGGGACGCATCCCATTCAAGATTCAAATTTTGGTTGTTGTTGGTAAGTCGTTGAGGGCAATAGCATTCCCCATGGCCTAATGTTCCACAGAAAACAACAGACAGTGAGCTTTTCATATTCAAAACGGACATAATGCTGAGTACCGTTGCCAAGAATTAGCTTTTTCCGCCGTTCGAGAGGTAGCCTAGTGTCCAGCCGCGTTCTTATTCTCATAATCCGTCTATAACCCAAGGAAGAAGCTGTTGAGTCATAATCAATAAAATTACCCAAAAAATTGCCTAAAGCTGTTGCCACCTTTTCGGACATAAAGACAACAGGGACATCATGGACTAGCACCCAGTAATCCACAAAAAACAGAGGAATTGCCAAGGGATCATCGCCTACCGTAAGCCTGTGTAGGATTAACAAATGAGAGCTGAAATTCCAGGGGCCACCTCTCTCTATCCGATCAGCATCAACTGCATTATACAAGCGAAACATGAATCTTCTTTCTCCAAGGTCTGAGATGGATATTCTTCCAAGAGGATGCCACGCATTTGCCAAGGTAGTACGCATCAATTGAAAATTGATTACACTAGCCGTGAGAAAACAGCCAACGAAACAGTGGTCGTAAGATTCATGTGAGTCATCCAAGCCAAACTCAATCTGTAAACCTTCCTCTTCACTTGTATTAATCGACAAACTGGCGAGATATTGTTCAACATTCGTCATTTTCGTGAAAGCAACGCAGGGGGAGAGAAGAAGGACATGAGGAAAGACGTAAGAAAACAAAATTACTTAAAATCGTGCACATATGGTGTTCTTAAATACGGCTGTATGATTCAAAACATGTATAATCTCTAAGTTAAGGTTGAAATGAGGTTTTTAAATGTTATTACTAAAATATCTTATTGATAATTGGTTGTTTTGTGACTTAATCTTATATTATTAATTGTAATATTCTCAAAGCCATTTTTGTAATATACGGATTTTAATTTTGATTTTGAGTTACATCAGTGATCAATGTGTCGATTTGCATTTAAGTTGGATTAGATTCAATACGTTACAATTTACATATTACATTAAAACAATATGATAAGTGTAGAATAAAATATCAACATAAACTCATATTAGTACGTAATAATTCTAATACAAAACCGATACGTCCACTAGTACAATATTAACTACCTTGATCAAGCTTTACAAGGGTTTAAATAAGTGTATATAATGTTAGTAACATACATAATCCCGACCCGATGATCTAATAGGATACGAGGATATTTTGTATTATTATTAAGTTATCGTCAACCCTACTAGCACTTCAAGTACATACAAACTTGAGATAGTTCAAATGGATTTCTTAAGATGAACACATAAGTCCAATTACTTAACAAAATAAATTCCAATGGATTTCTCATTCATAGGATGATACAATCTATCATGTCATCCATGTTTATACGAAGAGATTAACAATGCAATCTTATCCAACAATTTCGATGCATTACCCTTATCATTGTGTGATGTCCATTCCTGAAAATTATGGAGGCTGCCGGTGAAGTCCGTAAACAGACCATCAACTCCGCTCTGGTTTATCCAATAATCATATTCTCGGCAAGGATCTTGATGGAAATCCAAGTGTAAAAAACTGTGTTCGTTGCGGTAGGTGTATGGACGCAGGGTTGGTCTTGATTATTTCTAGGCTCGGGACGAAAATAAAAAAATGAGACCCTAATAAAAAAAATAAGAAATATGTAATATAAATATTTTATTAAATTAAAATTTTTTAATTTATTACAATATAAAATATGTCAAAAAAACATATTTAAGAATACAAATACTTATATTACA